CTATTATAGGCAGGTATGTGAATGTGTGCATGCACACTTATAGACACAGAGAAAGAAAATGTGTATATTTTATATAATCTGCCTTGGAAAACTTCATTCCAAAGTGATTAATGAAGTCTTAGTACACTTACTTGCTTAGTAACTGTATATGATTCTTTGCTCCAGAGGGAAATTTGATGATGAAAACAGTATGAATCAGATGATCTCACCCTGAATACTGCATAATATCTTCCAGATCCAAATCAACCCAAGCCATGTTTGAAATACCAGATGTTTCATACCCTCCCCCCTTTTTCTTTAAAGTATCTGACATGCAATACCCTCTCCTGGGTCAAGAAGGTCACTTGAAATGTTGCCAACCTATCTGGTTGCTTGAAAAGATGAATATGGAGAAACTTATTCAGTTCCCATATCTTTTCTGAAAAATAAGCAGGGGAAAAGAGCTCTCTCAGTTTGGGGAGGTGCAAATTATGGAAGTGTAAGTTCTGGAGTACATAATAGATATATTTTTTAAAGTCCCAAAGTTCAACAAAATAAACACCAAGAAGCGGGTACTTCAAAGGGATAGGATTTGGGGTTTAAGGGTAAAGAACTAGAGAAGAGGGGGGAAATGCAGTCAAGGATTCAATGGATATCCTACAAAATTAACAAGAGTGAAGGAAGGGGTGGGCTGGTGAAAGGTGACATTGATCAGGATGCATTCATGTATTATGTATTCATAAGCTGTTTTGTTAATAGAAACTTCTTTGCATATCTACTTAAAGATTTTTTTTAAAAAAAGATTCATTCCTGTATTTTAGGACAAATATTATGGGACATTTTAATTTTTTTCAGAGGATCCTGATAAGTATTCTTAAGCCTGACTGTGTTTCTCAGAATATAGTTAATCCAGAGGACCTGTTTTCTTGGGCACTGAAGAAGAAAAATTAATCTGTCATATCTTTGTATTGACTCTGGCCAGAATGCATTACTAAAATTATATGAAGTAGACAGCTTTGGGACTGTGTGCTTATGAAAACCATGTGTTTTTAAGTACTAAGTATGGACGTGTAGGGAATACCATTCACATTGCTGGGGAAATAGTTACATACCAGTGAAGTGAGTTGTATCACTCACAGCTGAAGTCTTGTTTCCTATTTGTACTTGACAGACTTTCTCCAAACCGAGTTCCAAATGATTCTGACATACAAGAGTCACTTTACTAGCTTTCTCAAATAATTCTCTATGTAGATCAAGTCAAATAGCAACTAATCTAGGTTACCTGATGTATAATTCAGTCATAATGGTAGAATTAAAATTTTTCTTGAAGGCAATTTAATTCAATTCCTTTATTAACTAGATGGGGGAGAAATGACATCTAAAAGTTATTGAACTTGACTGTGACACTGGTAGTTTTCTCAAACATTTATTATCAAAGGATCTGGATTTCACTTTCTAAAGCAGCCAGTTTGCTTTTGCTTATAAGATGATGTCTTCTTGGCTCCTCTTTTCTCAGTTTTCCACACCCCGGATGCATCCTGGGTATTATTAAATAACACATTCCTTATTCTTAATTCTCACAAAGTATTCTCAAACACAAACACTAAACAGGAACTAACCTATAACTTTATAAATCCAAGAATAATAGCCATGGCTCTTGAGAAAAGGAGACGAATCTGAGCCAGAAGGTGTTGACTGTGCCGAGGATAGAGAGAAAGGAGGTATCACCTCCTTTCTGGATCCTGGCTCAAGGAATCCTGAGCATAATGTAAGGAGGATGATGGACTCCTAAGAACTTAGGGTGTTTTGTATCCTGGAACTAAAAAGAGTTAGGAAACCTAGAGCCATTTAACAACTACCCCAAAAGGGAGGAGAATCTGTTTTGGAAGGTGCTAGTTCTGAATCCTACACTCACTTAACCACATTAATAGAATTTAAATTTTTTGCCTTTATCTGAAGTTTGTAGAGTTTGAATGTATGCTCTTCTTGTTTAGGTGGCATTTGGTTATTTATTTGTTTTTTCATCCTAACGGAAATTGAAAAAGATGTAGACTTCAGAAGTTTTCACACAGTAATATGGTTTAAGAGAGACCTTCAGCTAGGTCTTAAATAATTTCTCATATTGAAATTCCCCTAGAAAAAGAATTGTATTCGCTGACAATGATCTTGAAAATGTGTGTCTTTGTCTGGGGTTATGGCAAGTTATATTGCTGTGATCTCCTTCCACCCTCTTGCATTTACTTGTAGCCTGACATTTCCCAAGCACGCTCCCCCTGTCTGAGCATGTGGGGAAAGGTGGGAGCTACAGTTTGTCCACAGTCACAACTGGTGCTGGAAAGAGCTTACTTGGAAGCTGAATTCACTTTCTTTTTTTTTTTTTTTTAACAACAAAGTATTTATCTTCAAATGGTTGGACAAGGGTCTTAGGACTTAGCACATATTTATGTGTAAAGCGCACTTTCATCAGTCACCTCTTCCATCGTTCTGCCCACCAACTACCCCTTTCTTCCAGCAGTCACATCAAGTTTTCCATTTCTGTTTCCATAAATGTACATTATTATGACTATTTGTCTCTTACTTCCTTGTGCATTCATCCCTCAGCCTCCCATTCAAAACACATTTCAGTTTCCTTGTCAAAAAAGAAAAAGGGCAGAAAGGTACTCTACAGTCCAACAGGTTTTCTTTGTTAGGAAACCCTGGGAAGGGCAATCAAGTTTCCTTCAGCCCAGCTGAAGGGGAGATGGAGCACCCCTCCCCCCACAACTAGGGTCTCTTAAAGTATTAGGCAGAAAAAGTGAAGTCAGGCAGGGCAAGTGGAAGCCAGTTGAGATGGAGGCAGGTGGAAGAACAGGTTATTTTGCCTGAGGAGCTTTAAGGTCTCAACAGCTCCTATGTCCACCAAGGGTGTCAGCCTCAGACCTGGTCTTTCTCTCAGGCTCTCTTCCAGGACCACCAGGTATGTTTGTTCAGGGGGAAGGGGAGGGGAGATGGTTCAGCGGAGTCAGCCACAAGGACATTTCTAAAGGTGAGTGCTTTCAGTTTAAGTTATTTTCCATCATTCCTGAATATCATTTTGTTAAACTGTTCATTGATCATAGGTTTTTACACCATAGAGTATCACTCCTGCATCTACTGTACTTTAGTCAGTTGGATTGTATATGTGTGTGTATATGTATATGTGTGTGTGTGTGTGTGTGTGTGTGTGTGTGTGTGTGTATGCATATGCCCCTGTTTGTACTTACAAGAGAGGCAGTATTTTGGGTCTATAAGAGGAAAACGTTGGCTCTTTGTCTTTCTGGGTCTGGCTTACTTCACTCAGTATGATTTTTTTTTTTCAAATTCAAGATCCATCTATTTCCCTGCAAATGACATAATTCCATTTCTCTTGATGGCTGAATAAAATTCAGCCCCAAATATGATATTGCATGCTTCAAGATGGTGTATTTCCTTCAGTAAGAAAGAAGTAATAAGTAGAACAAAACACCTGTCTGCTACAAAAAGGCTACTCCTTATCACCTTGGCACTCTTCCCTCTGTCAGGCAGTCAGAAAGGAAACTCCATTTAGAGCCAGACAGAGTTTTAGCCAAGAAGAAATCAGCTCTCTTTTCTGAATTTGTGATTTCTGATTTTTCACCTAAAATTCCTAGTCTTGTGTGCAGTGCTTTAGAAGAGAAGATATTCAGAAACACAACCAGTTCTAATAACTAGTTGATTATCTATTGTAAGAAAATTAAAAGTAGGTAGAAAAGAAACACGGTGTCCTTTTGCAAATTGCCCCAATGAGTTCTTTAATGTAAACACTGTTGACAAATCGAGGTTCTTGTTATACTAGCTGAGCTTGCAAGTTGCAGTTAGAAATAGGGAAGGCGATCATATTTATACTTCATCACCATACTTTTGGTGATATTTACACTTTAGCTAGTATTCTGGCCATGGTCCTTTTCATCAGGAAGAGAAACGAAGGGCTGCATTGACACTTTGGGGCTTTTTCAAGGCTGCTTTTCTAAGGAATGTTATTATAATATCGTTTTGGTTGTATACTGATTAAGCTTGATAAAGTTAGAAAAGGGGGACATTGGGGAAAAATTTACTGTTTGACATTTGAAATACAGAGTAATCTTGTCACTGGTGGTTTGCTCGGGTGCTTTTGCACAGCCAATTGATCCTTCTCACTCTTACGTAGTCTGACAGAGGAGATTACATTGCTGTGCCCTTCCTCTCTATCCACTGCACCCCTTCAGCTTATCAGGCCACTTATCAGCAAGTTACCAAGGATCCTTGGTATATATATTAAAGAAAAAACAATGATTTACTATCATAAAGATAATATAGATGATCTTCCAACCCTGGTAAGCATTCTATCCTTGGGCGTTAGAGCTCAGGCCTTAAATCAAGGAGCTGCACATGGATCTGTTTTCTAACCCTCACTGACATTTTGATCTGATGCAAGTTCTGAAGTATCTCTGGAGTGAAGTAATTTCTAAAATGGAGAATTAATATTATCTACTTGAGAAAGATTATATGAGATTTTGAAGGTTTAACCAACAAGAAATAAACTATTCTTGGCATCCAAACACTTTTGTAGTTATGATTGTTATATTTTTCTTAATGTAAAAATAGCATTCTCACATAAAATAAAATAGCATTTTTCACATAATATAAAGTAATGTTCTTCACACATTAGTTGTTTGCTGAAAAATATGACATCTGGGTCCAGGTTGCTCTTTAAGCTTTGCACTCAGATCTTACTATATCAAGAACAGGTTGGCCATGGCATAAATTCATGACTTTCTGTGACTTACAATATTTATAGTCTTCCAAAGCATGTTATCTATATACTTGGAACTGCCATTTACATACCTGGGTATCATCATTAGCTAAACGATGTGATACTCATAAAATATTTGTTTGAAAGTTGTATCAACAAGAGTGTTAAGTGGAATTGAAAGTGCAATTTATTGCATTTTTTAGATTTTTTTCTCATACATAATAATAGGTCCACTTTGTTTTTCTTTTAACAGATGGGCTTAGGCCATGAACAAGGATTTGGAGCCCCCTGTCTAAAGTGCAAAGAATGTGAAGGCTTTGAACTACACTTCTGGAGGTAATGTCTTAAAGAGTACAACACCAGCACCTTTCACCTTATGGTTTCCGATAGTGCTGACCTTTTATATGTTCTTAAGCATTGTTGCTAAGTTGCAGGGCTGTTATTTTCTGAAAAATGAATGAAGAGTAAAGCTGCTCTTTATTCTGGTCATTAATCTGTTTTTTTGTTTGCTTATTTTGCTGTTATGAGGATTTGAACTCAGGGCCTCACTCTTAGTGGCTTGCTTGCTTGGCTGGTGATATGTCACTTGAGTCTTGCCTCCAGGCTAGCTTTATTGCTGGTTATTTTCAGACCTGGAGCCTTGTGGACTTGTATATGCCTCAGCTGGCTTCAAATTGTGATCCTCAAATCTTAGCCTCCTTAGTAGCTAGAAGTACAGATGTGAGCCACCAGAGTCCAGAGCCCAGCTCCTGGGTCAGGTTTTTTGTTTGTTTGTTTGTTTTTGTTTTTTTAAAATCAATCATGGGGCTTGAACTCAGGGCCTGGATGCTGTCCCTGAGCTTTATCACTCAAGGCTACCCCTCTACCACTTTGAGCAACAGCGCCACTTCCAGTTTTCTGGTAGTTAATTGGAGATAAGAGTCTCATGGACTTTTGTGACTGTCCTGGCTTCGAACCATGATCCTCAGAGCTTAGCCTCTTGAGTATCTGGAATTACAGGCATGAGCCATTGGCATGAGCCATTGGTACCTGGCTCCTGGTTAGTTTTGACTGAGTAGATTAGACAAAAACACTCTATTTAGAGTTGCTTGATTTATTCACTACTTTTCAGTTTACCTATTAGTGTAAAATATTGAATATTCCTTTTTTGAGTAAGCAAATAAGTTTGTGGTAATTGCTTGGATTATTAATTTAATCATGATTCTTCACCATTGCTTGCTTCTCATATCTCTGTAATTTGCACTGAATAATAAGTATGAATACTTAATTTAACATTTACGTATTTTTAAGAAAAAAAAATTTATTGCCAGTGTCCTGGTTTGAATAAAGTACATGTATCTGCAAAATAGTTACTTATATACTAGATCTTGGATAAAAATGTACATTTTTGATAGGTCTTATTTTAATGTTGTTTCTTCTTAGTTCTGAGGTTTGAACTCAGGACTTTGCACTTGCTTGGCCTGCTTGCTCAATTGACATCTCTACCACTTGAACCAAGCTTCAGCTTTGCCTTTTGTTGGTTATTTTGGAGATGGAGTCTTTCAGACTCTTCTGCCCAGGCTAGCCTTAAACAGCAATCCTCTGTATTCTCCGCTCCTCCTGAGTAACTAGGATTAAAGGCCTGAGGCAAAAATATCTGGCTTGTTTGAATGTTTTACAACTAATTTTTTGTGTATCATTCTTATAAGAAATGTATCTGTTCTTAATTAGTGCCTAGCAAGATCATTATGGTAGTTCATGTGTCTGCTCAAAGTTAGTATCAGCATGTTCTTGTTACAAGAAAAAAAGCTGATCAATTAAATAATAGGAGACTAGCAGCTGCATTGTAATGATGAGCATCACTTGACAACTACTTTTGTATTACAGATTTCCATAGGAAATTCTAGCATAAACAGTCTAATCAGCCATTATAACTATGTCAGTTAAAGGAGGGTATAAGAATAAATGAGTTTATTAGACTTCTTTAAGAGTTAATTTATTTAATAATTCTTAAGAAATAATTATTTGTTTTTAAAACAATGATAATAACAGAAACTGCAGTCTTCCCAGAAATGATGATACAGTATTTTTAGAGAGCTTTTTTCGGGAATTTTTTCAAATTCCAGGCTTAAATAGATCTTCTTTGTGCTGCCTCTCAGAGCACAGAGCAGTTAGTCATGTGCCTCTTGGAGTCTAAACACAAAATAGTTTTCATGGATTACAATACAGTTACCCCTCGAGAGTCAGTTTCTGTATGTACCACAATCAACCGATTCTCAAGTCTTAAGTTGTAATGTTTGTGTGTAACCTATTGATTATTTACAATGCCTGATACTATGTAAATAGTATTATATAATTAATTTTAAAGGTCTGAATATGTTCTGTCCATATATACCTTTCATTTTCCATCGGCTGCATGGATGCATAACCAAAAGATACTGGGCCATTCCAGCACTTTCTCTGATGCATAGCAATTTGAAGGGGACTCCCGCGCCCTCTGCTGGACATGTTTTTTACTTTGTAATAGTAGTTGCCAAAATACTGCTAATAAGATTTTAAAAGGCCATTCCTAAGAAATAATTTCTGTTTTGTTTGGTCTATATTACTTTCATATTTCAGATTACTGAAATATGTAACACTTTCAGTTTAAAAAATATCAGGCAAGAGCAAATTTCTATGACGTGAAACCACTTTTTTATGTTTGTTTCATTATATAAGTTCATCTGATAAACTGGGTATGGACTTTGAGTCTAAGAGTCATAAAACTCTAGGGTGCTGGCCTTAAACTTAGCTGGCATTGATATAATCCATCCAGATGGTTTTTCTTAGTTCTGTCATCTTCTTGGCATGAGTCCAGACATACTTCTCTGTTATATTCTTGATCATTTCCTGACTTTTTATTTTACCGTAACTGGAAGAGCAGAGACAGATATCTTTGACCTCCAGATCCAGCCATGTCTTTGAGGTAAAATATTCTAGACTATTAGTCCTGAGTATAACAAAGATTGCACCTGTAGTCCAGGGTCACAGGGCTTGCTTCCCACTTAGCCTCCTCCTTCATCTTTGTGGTGATCCTTGACTTCGAAGTTTCTTTGAGCTTCTCAGACAGTTAGCAAACCTGAGTTTAACTGTCCTCCCTCCACCTCTTTACCAGTAGGCCTTCCATGTAACTGTGGAAAGGTATGTTGAAAATGGGGAAGTGAATGCTATTACAGTCTTCCTATAGCTTGAACTCACTGGACTTACTCTTTCAGGCAAGGTCTTTGGTCTTTGATGGCAGGCAGAACTCAACATTCGGCTTCGGTTTGCTTTTCCAGCCTCCCTCACTTAGTTCTGAGCATTATATGATCCTTGCTCCTTCCTGAATTTTTCTGAATATCTTAATTCTTTGTGTCCTTGCTTGGGAAGACCATACCTCCCAAATCCAGGAAACAAAAAGCCTTGCTGTAGTACTGCCTCTGAGAAGTATTTCTTTTACCCTAATTACTCTGCTGTGGACATTTTAACAAAACCAGATCATAGGTCTGGTAGTTTAAGCATAATTTGCTTTCTGAAGAGTTGAAAGTCTAAAAACTAAATGGTTGAGTTTTGATAAGGGTCTTCTTTCTGCCTTGTAAACAGCCACCTTCCTTCTTTCTTTCCTGTGTGTGTGTGTGTGTGTGTGTGTGTGTCTGTCTGTCTGTGTGTCTGTGTGATAGAGTGATTTGTGTGGTGGTATTGGGGCTTGAATTTAGAGCCTTATACTTCTGCTTAGCTTTTTCATTCAAGGCTTAAACCACTTAATAAACCCCATGGCCCACATGGCCATTTCAGCACCCCCTCCCCGCCCCCCCCACCGTGTGTGTTTGAGTGTGTGTGTTGGTCAGTTGGAAACAAATGTTTGCATATTCATCTTCATTGGCTTGCTGTGAACCTCAGTTCTCAGATACAAGCCTCCTCCTCCTCAGTAGCTAGGATTACTGACATGAGCCAATGGTCACACCCAACTTAGCCACTTTTTATATCATGAATCCTCACATGGTTTTCTTAGAGTGTGTGTGTGTGTGTGTGTGTGTGTGTGTGTGTGTGTGTAGAGAGAGAGAGAGACAGATTGAGAGAGAGAGATTATTCGCTTATCCTTTTCTTACTTAGTCACAAATCTATCTACCCTTTTCTTACGACCTTATTGAACTTTATACCTCCTAAATAACAACCCTTAAATCCACTATTGTCACATTAGGGGATAAGGATAGGATATGTCTTTAGACAGTAACATTTCCTTCTCCTACACCACACCCACACATCTCCAACTGAGAGATCACTTTCCCCTTTAGCCTACTGAATACACTGTAGAAGTCAGGAAGTAACTATTCAGAGCTCATACTTCCTTCTTGCTTTGCTCTCCAGTTGCACCTCCTATCACCCCACTGCTGAGAACCAGGTTGCTCACTGGAGCGGGCAGCCTCCTGAGGGCTAGCCCTGTCCACTGAAGGGTAGAGAATTACCTAAGAGGGGTGAATAGAAGAAACCACTTGAGAATATGTCACAAAAGTTGAAAAAGTCTTTAAAAAAATGAATTCTTAAACCTAGGAAAATTTAGAGTAGAAATTGCTACTTTGCAACTTTGCAAACTTTATTTTATAGATCAAAGAACTAAAACTCTGAAAAGTCAAAATGACTTGCTTTTGCTTTTAGGCTATTAATAGAAATAGAACTTATCAACAAGTCTTGTGTAGAGTATCGGAAGCACCTGAAATAGTTACTACAAAAAATGGTTTTGTTACTACAAAACAAATCACCAATGTAGGAGAATGAAACATCTATCGATTAACTCAGCACCTATTTATTCTGTAGGTTAAAAGTCTGGCTGAGTAGGAAGGAAAGGGTGTTGGTTGGCCAAGCTCATTCCCTCCGTCCTGGGACCCAGAACTACAGGAAAAGAATATGCTTCTAAGTTCATTCCCGCTGTTGATAGAATTTGATTCTTTGTGGTTGGAGAACTAAAGTTCCTGTTTCCTTTACGTTTATCAGCAGAAGGTTGCTCTCAAATTCAGGAAGCTACTCTTTCCTTGACATACAGACCCTTCCATCTACCCTCGATGCCAACTTCACTTTGTGCTTGTGCTTAGAATCCTTTCTGTTGTTCTGATCTCTCGGATATCCTCTTCTCCTTTTAGCCATAAAAAATATGTTGCTTTTTACAGACATGGCTAGCTTAGGCACACCTAGATAATCTCCCATTCACCATATACAGTAAAATAAACATGGGAGTGGTGTCAGGGCAAAGGTTTTAGTATCTGTCTTAGGATTCTGCTTATCACAGAACTTTATGTACCTGATTGTACCTAATTTTCCTAATACTCTTTTTGCACATGAGA